GGGTGAGGGGAGGGGGGGGGGGGGGGGGGGGAGGGGGGTTGTCTGTAAATCTGGACTATCTGGACATACTGGTCTGTCTCTCCCTTACTGTCCATTTGGCAGCGACCACCTGTTTCCTGCCTCCTCTGCTCTCCTCACCTCACGCACTGCATGGGGAGAAATTAATTTGCTGCAAATCTTGACGGCTTAAACGAGGCAGTGACGCCCCGCCCCTCCCCGCCGCAAACCGACAAGTAAATCCCCACAATTAGCGGATCCATATTAGCATATTAACCTGTGCTTCCTTCCGAGGCGCATCCTGTATGTAGGTCAGACACCATTTTCTTAATTGCTTTTTCGCTGTTGATGGAGGACAAACATCTTCTGGGCCGTTTGTTATGGTTGCTCTTCATTATGCCAGTCGTTATTTTGGCTGGAAAGGTGCAGGCCTAAACACACACACACACACACACACACACACACACACACACACACACACAGAGACATATAGCTACAGGACCGAGTTAACGGACGCTCATGGCCATATGAGGCCGGTGTCTGACCCGGGCTGATTAAAACCAAAACAGACTCATAAACAAGGCCAACACATGTGCAGACTGGAAGCAGACCGTGTTGTGAGTTCATGCTTTTCTTCTAACTGCTCTTACCTCAGACTATCATGTAATTAATGAAATATGAAATTGCATACTATGCATATAGAGCATGTTTATACGAGGCAACCTTGAAAGGGAAATAATCCTGTGTAGTCCTACAGGCTCATTATATGCATTATCAGCATGGGTGCAGCACCCACTAAAAGAATCATCACTTGCTGTGTTACAATCTGACACAATGTACCTAAAGAATTGCCTTAAAGCAGTAAGGGGATTACTGTTTACTCTGCAAACAGATAAATAACTGCAGGCTATATAGTGATCTGTTATAAATAAATTGTGGCCTCTAATAAACCATTTAAACCAATCAGGACTGATAAAGATTCCAAGAGAGGGGTGACATCTCGCTTAGTATCACATGGGAAATGTTTTTTTTTTATCTTATGAACTTTGTGTTTTAAGGGAAACTGGTTGATTTTAAACATAATATGTTGGATTGGGGATTATTTCTTTAACCTTGAGCTGAAAATAAATCCTTTCATTTGATATGTGCCATCCAAAATGACAAAAGCTGATGAACAGCCTATTTTGTTTCTGGAAAAAGCATCATTTTCTAGGAAGAACAGAACGAGTTTTCATTTTAGAGGGTATTTATTCTCCCTGACGTGATTGTGTAGACATTTCTTTCTTTTTTCAAATATCTCTCGAGTTACAATAATAAAATGTCACAAATGCCATACACAAGTTAGCCTATCTAAAGTGCCACATGCCCACAATAGCTCAAATCCTAATCTTCTGCCTCTCCACGCTGTCTTATTTTCTGCCACTTGCTCAAGAAATATGGCACCAGGGCCCCCTCCCCTCTGCAGGAGCAGCGGTCCATCCAGGGAACCTTGGGGCTGATCTAAATTCTCGCCTCTGGGCTGTATACCGTGCGGGGTTTCGGGCCTTTCCCTGCCTCGTCAGGCGGCAGATGGACTGGCTCCTGTCCGAAGATCAGTGCGCATCTGGTGCGGCGCTCCAAGCCCCCGGTAAAAGCGGGGCCACTCGTCAGCATTAAGCCCTATTAGGACCGTCTACCGTGCAACTGGTGCCTCGGGTTGGCAGCAATGGTGGCTGCACTGCCTGCATGCATATTATGTCTCAAGCATATATATATATATATATATCAAGCAGGAGAGCTGAAACACTCCTGCTGACATAAATAACGAAAAGTGACTCGTGCGCTCAGTGATCTGTTAGGACACCGGTCAATGGACTGTGCAGACTTTGGGGTCAACCGTCTGGTTGTAGGAAACTCACTTGAACGGCTTTTAGAAACAAATTAGAATGTCGGGTTTCACGTTTTCATTTTAATTAATTGTCTAGCTCTCTCTCAAACCTGCATAACTATATTCTCAGGTGTAAATGTCAGTCTTTTGATTCAGCCTATGATGATGATGATGTGAGAGGAAAGAGTCAGCGTGATTTCCTGCCAAACCCCCCCCCCCCTGGTGTCATTTTAGCTCGAGTTTCTGCCCTCAGTACACACTTTTGGTACGTTTTTTCATGATAATTTCTGCCCAAAATAAGAAAATAATATCACAAAATCCTGATCATATAATCACATTTCGAATCGCTTAAGGTATCTCAATTGACACCAAAGATCTCTCTTGCTCTCTCCATGTCTCTTTGCCCGGTGGCCTTCTCATTCATCCCTCCTCCTCCTTTCTTCCACTCACCCACCTCTCTCTCTCTCTCTCTCTCTCTCTCTCTCTCTCTCTCT